AGATATATAATATATTGGAGAATAAGAGAATTAGAGAGTAGAGAGTTAAGAATAGGATTTAGGAAGAATTGGAGAAGAGATATGAAAAAATGTTTAAGAGTAGGAGAATTTATAGGTTTTTTTACCCCCCACCCCCCCCCCACCCCACCCCCTACCAGCCAACCCCCCCGGACCCCCCCTTTACCCCACCCAACGGCTATATAGCCGTTTGGGTTGTCCCCAGCCCCACCCCCAAGGCCTCAACGGCTAGTAGCCAAAAAAAAAAAAAAAAAGTTTTTTTTTTAAAAAATAGACCCGGACCCGGGCCCGGACCCGACCCGGCCGGGCCGGGTCACAAAAATGATGAACCGAGCCCGCCCCACCCCTTCCCCCCGGTTCGGGCCCAGACCCGGTCCCGGACCGCCCGACCGGGCCGGTCCCGGGCCCGCACAGTACCGGGCCGGGCCGGGTCACGGGCCGGGCCGGGTCACGGGCCGGGTGGCCCGAACCGAATCCATCCCTACATAGTATCAAGGCTGACATCACCACGCCCGCCAATAGCCATTGACACATTTGCATTTAGTATTGGCTCATAGCTAGTTTATTATCCAATACTACATTACTACGTATATTCTACTACTCTAAATACTCCGTGTGACATGTGGAAATGACTTCACATTTCAATATTTATACAATTACTCGGTCATTTAAATGCATATTTTTTCTCTTTAGCTCTGCTATCTTGCTACTTAACTCCGCTTCATGTTCCTTAATCCTTCAACTATTTTGGTGAGTTATCGAGTACAAGTCAATATAAGAACTATTTTGTTTTATTTTGAAAAAGTTAAAACATTTAACAAAACTAGAAAATTTATTTCATTGAAAAACGGTCAACACAAAACTTCCTATCACAAACCCAACTATAAGTAGTACTAGGGATGGACCGGGACGGGTCGGATCGGGCCCAGTACTGTTTAGGCCCGGATCAGCCCGCTAATGTATAGGCCCGGTCCCGGCCCAGTCGCTATAAGGACAGGCTTCAGGCTTGTTTTTTGGGCCCGACCCGGCCGGTCCCTGGCCTATACAAAGTTAGGCACAACTTTTTGGCTAATTTTTATAGGAAATAGTTTTTATTAATATCATCTCCCGTACAACAATAGGAATCATAGTTTAGAAATAATTTTTAAAAATATGAACAGTTTGAATGTATAACAAACATAATATGTAGACCCCTCTTTCTGACTACAAATCTAGTCACTTGTAACATCAAAAAATGATATTAGACAATGAAATTAAAGCTATCTTTAAAGTTTAAATGGGTCACTTATATGACATTTTGATAGAGTTTTTGATGAGAAAAATGATGTGATTTCTAGTAGAAAACTACTTATATATCAATGACTCAATGTCAGAATATGTTCAAATAGTTATGTTCAAATAGGTACTATTCAAAATTATTTCCACTATTTTGAAAATAAATTTAAATCCGCAACTCTCTGTTCCAGTGCTATTTTAAAAGCACCAGAACCGGTACTAGTGAATAGTCCAATACATGTTGGGGAAATTAGCCAAAATAGGAGTAAATGAGGTATGAAAAATACTATCATAATTGAAAAATACTTTCATTAATTATAATTAATACTGTCATGTTAAATGCGCTGTACTGCAACTATTTGACAGTCACGCCTACAAGATGACAATAAATACTACCATGTTGGTCTATTTCGGAAATAAAAACATAAAAGTCCTATTTTGGAATGACAAAGTTCCCGAAATAGGACTAAAACAGTTTTAAAATTCCAAAATAGGACTATCATGTTTTTTGTTCCCAAAATAGAAGTAATTACTGTCAAGTTTAGAAAATATTGCCGTGTTTGAAGTCTGGTAATGCCAAAACATGGCAGTAATTAGTCATATCTTGGGAATAAAACCTGACAATCCTATTTTTGAATTTTCAAACTATTTTAGTCCTATTTTGGGTAATGTTCTCTTTTGGAATTTCAATTTTCAAACTCCATTTACTCCAATTTTAAAAAATCTCCCTACAAGTCCTACATGTCCAGAAGGAAAAGAACCAAAAGACCGGTGGGCGTAGCTCAATTGATAGCAAGGGAGTGCCACAAGGGTTAGGTCCCGGGTTCGAATCCCGGCAACTGCGATGAGGAGTTACTATGTTAAAAATGCATATGGCCTCTACAAGTAACGGGGACAGAACCCCACTCTCTATCTATCAGATTGGGATTATAGTCCAATTTACGTTAGGGATGGACCGGTTCCGGTTCGGGCCCGGTTCGGGCCTGGGCCCGGCCGGGCCTCGATTCATGAAAGGGAGGCCCGGAACTGGCCCGGGTAACCCCCGGGTCCGGGCCGGGCTGGGCCAGGCCTCGGTTCTATTTTTTTTTTTTTTGGCTTTTCCTATTTAACCCCCAACCCTCCCCGTCACCCCCAAACCAACCCTAACCACCTCAAATGGTCCAAAATACCCAGCCCAACCCAAAAACTTAAAAAAAAAATCAAAAAAAAAAAAATTGGCCCGGCCCTGCCCGAACCGGCCCGGCCGGTTCACCTTTTGAAGGGCCCGAACCCGAACCGCCATCCCACCGGGCCGGGTGGCCCGAACCGGCCAACCAACCGGTTCACCAGGCCGGTCCGGGCCTGCACAGTAGCGGGCCGGTCCGGTTCCGGACCGGTTTTCCCGACCCGAGTCCAACCCTAATTTACGTCCTTCCAACGTACCATCCGCAGGGATGGGGTGTCATTTTGGAAAAGAACCAAAAGTAATTGAAGAACCAGCCTGATTCATTACCCCGCAGGCACGCAGGTTTCGAATGGATAAAGAGTTGCATGTATTGATGGACTCGGGCCGGGTCGGGCCGCCGGGTAGTATGACATGGGCTCAGGACCGGCCCGAGGGTTGGACGGGTCCGGTCCGGGCCGGGCCACCCGTCCGGGTCACGGGTCGGGTCCGGTTCGGGCCGGGCCGGTTAAATTTTTTTTATATATATAATTTATATTTTATACTCCCTCCGTCCCTTATAACTTTGCCAACATTCCTTTTTTGGTTGTCCCAAAAACTTTGCCACTTTCCATTTTAATCAATCAATTTGTGGTTCCTGTTATTTCTCTCTCCTCTGCACAAATATCTACCAGACAATTTTTACTTTATTATTCTACGTGCCGGTCAAACTTGGCAAACTTTTAAGGGACGGAGGGAGTAGTTTATAGTTTTATACGAGTATTAAAAACAAACTTCAATTGCATTTATTTGAAATGAAATAGGAACTACATTTGAAAATTAAAACAAACTTTAAGAGATAAACATTTTGAAAATTGTAATCAATCGGAACTTCCCGCACCTCCCGATCCTTTGGCTTTGTCACATGACTTCATATGCTTGATTGTCATCCCGAATCCGCCAGAAACCCCCATGCTACATTTTTTCTCGCACCATTTGCAAATTGCGTACCACATCCCGGTCTTCGGGTCCTTCTGCTTATCAAAATTATACCGTATAATGGCATCTTGATTTTCCATCTTAACTTCTTAAGTATAAACTATAAAGTAGATATATAAATAATAAATATAATATATTGGAGAATAAGAGAATTAGAGAGTAGAGAGTTAAGAATAGGATTTAGGAAGAATAAAGTAGATATATAAATAATAAATAATTTATAGGTTTTTTTACCCCCACCCCCGCACCAGCCAACCCCCCCGGACCCCCCCTTTACCCCACCCAACGGCTATATAGCCGTTTGGGTTGTCCCCAGCCCCACCCCCAACGGCTAGTAGCCCAAGAGCCCAAACAAAAAAAAAATTAAAATTAGACCGGACCCAAGCCAGACTCGGCCGGGCCGGGTCACATTAATCCAGCACCGAGCCCGCCCCACCCCTTCCCACCGGTTCGGGTCCATACCCGGTCCCGGACCGCACGACCGGGCCGGTCCCGAGCCCGCACAGTACCGGGCCGGGCCGGGTGGCCCGAACCGAATCCACCCCTAGTTGCATGTGTCTTTTCATCTCATTTACCGCTGGATGTTGAATTGATGATATGCGCTTACAAATCGTTCTTCTTCGTACACATAGTACTAGGGTTGGACTCGGGTCCAGGCCGGGTCCGGGTCGAGCCTAGGCCCAGGCGGGCGGTTCAGGAATGGTGGACCCGAGACCGGCCCGGATAGCCACCAGGTCCGGGCCGGGTCCGGGCTAGGGTTGGACTCGGGCCGGGTGGCCCGACCCGGAACCGGCCCGGGACCGGTACTGTTCCGGCCCGGCCCGAACCGGTAGCTCGGTCAATGACCGGTCCGGGTAGGCCTGACCCGGTGGGTTTCCGGTCCGGGCTCGGGTCACCCATAACAAGGCCCAGCCCGGCTAGGCCAAATTTATTTATTTATTGGTTTTTTTCATTTGTTTGGGCTCCACCGGGTTGGACTTGATGTTTAGGAGGGGTTTGGGGGTGGGGGTGAGGGGGGGGGTCAGGGATGGGTAGCTAAGAAAAAAAAATTAACCAAACCCGAGGCCCGGCCCGGCCCGGCCCTGAACCGGACCCGGTGGCTACCCGGGCCCGGCCCTGGGTCCAGCTATATAGAACCGCCGGCCCGACCCAAGTCCAACCCTAGTCCGGGCCAGGCCTCCGATTTGGGTATTTTTTTTTCTTTCCTAACCCCCCCTCACCCCACCCTCCCAAACCCCCCTCACCCCTCCTAACCATCAACCCCAACCCGGGTGGAACCCCAAAAAATGCAAAAGAAAAATCAATTTGGCCCGGACACGGGCTTGACCCGACCGGGCCGGTTCGCCAAAAGTGAGACCCGGGCCCGGACCCGCACTACCCACCAGGCCTAGGCCTGACCCAGACCCGGATCCGAGAACCGGGCCGGTCCCGCACAGTAGCGAGCCAGGCCGGTTCACGGGCCGGGTGGCCCGGCCCGAGTCCAACCATACACAGTACTGATTACTGAAAAGTGAAAACGCACCCATATATTTAATGACATTTAATCTACTTTATTTGAAAAATTAATTCAAATTGAAATTTAATTAATTAAATAAGAAAATCCCAATCTTTAGACCATGCATAAATTAATAAGAGAGATCGAGCATGGACTTATAGACCATGCAATTGCAGACAGCATGTTTATTCAAAATAAAACTAGCAATATGTATTCATGCATTGAGTTATTCAATAAGGTAGTAAATAGCAAGCAAAGTGTTCATGCATTGCGTTAAACAGTAGGCCACAAAATAGAAGTCAGAGTCATAGGTTGCCACTGAGGAGTGAGCAGTTGAACTTGGAAGTGTTCAAATGGTTTCTTGAGAACCATTTGAAAAAGCCATTCTCACTTCAGTCCCAAGAGGCACTTCTTGTCGTCATCATACGTCAAAATACAGGGATGGTTTTCCATAAATTGATGATTTCGCAGCAAGTTATATGCACAAAGTAAAAATATGCAGAACATAGTGGTATATATATATATTTTGTATATATTGTATTGAAGATAGCATCCACCGCCCAACAAGCCAACAATTTCCAAACGTGCACACTATCTCCTCAAGCCTTCCACAACATAATCCGCATAGAGGTTCCTGGAAAACGTACCAAATGACAAATAAACCTTCCAGCGCAATAACAAATAACTAGAAAAAGAAGCGGATGTGTTTTATATGCTGCGTGTATAAGGGGCGGGGTAGTCATGATAGGGCGCATTTTGTAATGTCACTCTATAGGAGCTTACCTCTCGGCACTCAGTAAGCGTCTACATCTTTTATTAACTTCAAGTTAAATCCAAAAGATTTAAAACCTATTTGAGACAGGGGTTCCTTTGTGCATCTGACGTAGAGTGCCAACTCATTTATTTTGACGCAACAACCAGGGCTGGCCCTGGACATGTGTGAGGAATGCAAATGCACAGGGCCGTCATTCAATATAGGGCCTCTATTTTTCTTACTATATTTAGAATATTTTAAGTAATTGTCCATATAGGACTAAAAGAGTAAAGAAATTCTCAAATAGGACCATGTATGATTTCTTCCCTTAATAGGACCAATTTACTCCTATTCCTAAACTTACAAAAATTTGCATCTCAATTTTACCCCTGCACCCAATATCCCTTTTATGTCTCCATTTACAAACCTAATAGATCGACTCTTTGGTTTCCTCCCTGCCGAAAAAATCGATCGACAACTCCCTCTGCAACTTCTCCTTGCGCATCGCAGCCACCGCCGCCACAAACCATGCCGCCTCGCGCCGCCTTCGTCACTACTGGATTCAGCACGCATCATCGCAGGTTGTCTCTTCTTCTCCTCCTTCTCCTTCTCTTTCTTCTCTTCTTCCCCGATCTACTCTTCTTTCCTCTCCTATTCCTCCTTCTCCTATTCCTCTATTTTAATGAGTTTAGACATTGATTTTTTAGATCTTCCTTCTATTCTTATGTTTTTATGGAATTTGACATTGATTTCGTCAATTTTTAGGAATTCTATTTTGTATTTTCTGATTTTTTATTTCGGATTTCTTAGTTTTTTAAGTTCCGATTTTCCAAAAGTTTGGATGATGGTTTCAGATTTTGCCAAGTTTATGGCAAAAATATGTACACTGACAATCGTAATATGGCAGAAATGCCTTTGTTTTAACCAATCTTCCTCTGTTTTCTTGATTTTGAATTGAATTTTCCAAGTTTCGAACTTCTGTTTTGATTTTCTGGTTTCTAGTTTCTGAGTTTTAAAACAAATTTTAATTTTCAACATTTTGGACGATTGCTTCGGATTTGGCCAAATTTGTGGCAGAAATGTGTACATTAACATCATATTATGGCAAAAATGCTTTTCTATAAATCCATTTTTCTGATTTTGTGTGAATAGTTTTGTTTTTCTAATTTCCGATTGTGCTAAAAAAAATTTCTCATTAAATAAATTAGTTGTTTGAATATTTGGTTATTTACTTCATGTTTTTCATTTTTTGCCAAATTTATGGCAATTTTGTGTTAATATTCCAACATGAATCTGTCAACTCTTTGACAGATCTGAACTCTTGTGTTATGGCATGGCAGATGTGGATCCAGTCAGGGGCGGATCCATGTTGATAAGAGGGGGGGCAGCTGCCCCCAATAAAACTCTATTAATATCCCCTTTTTCATTAGTAAAAAAAACAGTATACATTTGCCTCCAACAAAAAACTAAAGATGCCCCCAATAAATCTTGGCCGGCTCTACCCAATGCCTAGAGTAAAGCATTTTTGTACTATTCATTTTAGCCATTTAGGCTTATACGGAAGAGAATAAATATCAAATAAAATGATTTAAATTTTTAAACAAATAAAAAAATTGCACTGCCATGAAATACGAACAGACCGAGGGCTAATGAATAGATTGTGGTGTGTGAATTAGTGTCTGGAGTATAACTTAACTTTATTTATATAAAAATGTTAGTAAACCAACATGTTAAAATAACTATATAAGGTAAACAAATCTTTTATCCAATTGCAAATTAAAATACATAATAACCCAGTTATCACATTTACGGTAGAATATTATTTATATAGTCTTCAAAACCAGAATTGCATTACCTAACGTACTACTCGTTAAAAAACAAAAAAAAACATTGATTTTTCATTTTAAATTAGTCTTAATGAATAGATTGTTGAATAAAACACTTCGAGAAAAGAGGCAAGTAAGCCCTCGAATTATTTGCGATTCTGCAATCAGGCCTCGACACCGGAAGACTTGCAAATACACCCCTCAACTCATTGAAAATTAAGCAATTGGGTCCTTTTTTTACCTGTTGATGTAGGTAAGGAGATGATAGATTAACGGAACCAGCAACTAAAAAAGATCTGATTATTTAATTTTCAACGAGTTGAGGAGTGTATCTGCAAGTGTTCCGGTTCATGGGCCTGATTGCAGAATCGTAAATAATTCGAGGCTTATTCGCCCCTTTTCTCAAACACTTTTATTGCCTTGAACAGTTAATTTTGATAACTACTTTGAGTAATAGAATCGATGACTAATGTGTGTTTTTTTTGTTATGGTCTAGTTTGTTTTTACAAGGAGATTTACTCCCTCCGTCCCAATTTACTTAGCCAAACTTGACTTTTGAAGTCAAAAGCGTCTAACTTTGACCGATTATATGTTTATATAGAGAAAGTATTGATAATATGAAAATGATATGAAAATGTTCTTTGTTAAACACTATTATAAAAGTATAAAATTATTAAATTTTGCATAGATATATTAGCTTAAATAATTGGTCAAAGTTAGAGGCCGTTGACTTGAAAAGTCAAGTTTGGCTAAGTAAATTGAGACGAAGGTAGTATTTAATAGTCACAAAAAGATGAAAACCCGAGAAGAGCAATTGTGATCAACTTTATTATGGGTTTTGATATTGTTATATGCTTTATTTAGTTTGAACCAATTCTACTGTACTATAGAAAAAACTTTAACAAAGAACAAATACTATAATAGTTTTGTTTAGAAAAAATCATATAATAGTTAGAAACCACAACCAAAAAAGTAAGTAATAAAACACTTTTTCTATTCGGTCTAATATACTTAATTATTTTTATAGAGACGTTTTTTCCATAAATATACTTCATTAATTATTCTGCCCCCAATAATTTTTATTCCTGGATCCGCCACTGGATCCAGTCCTCAACTCTAAATCTGTCAACATCATGTCAGTTTTATTCCGCCTGAGTTGTTACGATAGTAGTGTGGCTGAAAGGTGGCGGTGGTGGTGACGGCGACGGGCGACGCCGGTGTGGTAAGCGGCGGGGTAGGGGGCGGCGATGGAGGCGACAGGCGGCACATTCGCCGGCGAGGGTAGTGACAGGCGGCAGCATCTCCGGCGACGGCGGTGACAGGCGGCGGCGTCTCCGGCGAGGGCAAAGTCAGGATGCGCCGGCGGGAGGTTTGCCTCTGGCGGTGGTAGTGTTACTGCTAGGGCTCAATAGTTTTTAATTTTACATTTTTAAAATTTAATATATTAAAAGGTGGTATTTTTGTCCTAACTGCTCTGAAAATGGTCCTATGAAACTTAAATTCCGTAAGCAGTCCTATATGTGCAATAAAATTTGCAATTAGTCCTATTTGAGTCATTAACTCTATTATTTTCCCAGTGTTTCGCCTCTCTAGTCTTATGCGACTCTTTGAAAATTGGAAAGTTAATCGGGAGTTATTGCGATTAATAATTTATTATTCAATATTTGGAAGGACTGCAATAGGCAAGAAGTTTGTCTGAGATTTTGAGAATTCATCTAGTCGGTGTGACTCATTTCGGTACCCGAGCTCCAGAAGTCACCACGTATAAAATTGAAGGTATGCAATTAGGCCTACATTATTATACTCCCTCCGTCCCAAAAAATACTTCCCGGATTGAATTGGCACGCTTATTAAGAAAGTGGAATAAAGTGAAAATGTGTGGTTGTAGTTGTGTAAGAAAAAGGTAAAAATAATTGTGAGCCACACAAATTGTCCAAAGGGAAAGTGGGAAGTATTTTTTGGAACGACCCAAAAAGGAAAATAGGAAGTATTTTTTGGGACGGGGGTAGTATCATGTAGAGTGTTGGAAGGTGAAACAATATCACATTCAAAAGATGAGTATGACTGAGAGGCGCATGTTACATTTAATGTGTGGACATACTAGAGAAGACCACTTGAGGGATGGGACAATTAGGCAAACGATGGGGAGTAACACCTATTAAAGATAAGATGTGGGTCTTGATTGTGATGATTTAGGCAAGTGCATAGAAGACCGAGTGATGCACCTGCTAGACGAGTTGATAGGTGGGGTGAAGAGGCAGTGAGGACAGGGAGAGGAATACCCAAATAGATTTGGATTAGACGGGTTAAGAATGATATGATACATCTTGAGTTGGACAAGACTATGACTTTGGAGAGAGCGGAGTGGTGGGAGAATATATATATGGAGGATTCATCTCATTTTATAGGGGTGTTTGATCTACTTCTTAAAACCGCTTCTACTCTTCAGAGAGCAGAAGCATATATTGGAGTGTTCGGATGCACACATCTTTACCCCTATGCTAAAGCATACAGAGGTTGTTTCCGAATGACACAACTGAATGACCCAACTACCAGCCACATCCAATAGTAATACACACTTTGAAAATGATTTAAATTATACCAACTATTTGAATATAAAACAAAAATAATATGGAGTCACTTTTCAACAAGAAATCCAATCATTTAATAAATTACAAACTAATAGCAAACTATCAAATAAGTGATATTTGGAAATATCGGTCACGTATTTGATATTTTGATGAATTAAATAAAGTGATAGTTTTTAATGAATTAAATAACTGAATTTTCTGTGAAAATGCTTTATTTCAGTTTTGGTATATATTTAAATACTTGATACGATTAAAAGATTTAAAAGTACGTATATTTTTTGTCCATAGAAGATAGTTTGTATTGTTTAAAGTTATTTTCCCTATATTTTTTATCTTTTTTATCTTATCTTTACTACCTTAATCTTATTTGTCTTTATCATATCATTTTTATATTTTTATCTATTTTAACTTTTCTCTTATCTTGCGGTTATCTTTTATAGCCCCGACTTCATATTTTGATTCATGTTACCCGGCCCCAAACTCTTTTGGAATTAAGTCTTGGAAGAAGTTGTCAAAATCTCGGATACAAACTTAATGAAGCAAGAAAAAGATTAGGTTAGTAGATAGCCACACAAGTTACTCCCTCTGCGCCTTTACCACGTAGTTTTTGGTTTTTCAGTAATATTTTAGCTGATGAATTAGTAGTTGTTGTTCTTGTTTCTTTAGACCCTTCAGCAATTCCGATACCTATCATGCTTCTTGGACAAGTGGTATTCAAACTCTTATTTTTGCAACCCTAGCTGCGGCGTATATAGGTGAATCCATAGGGGAACATCATTAATTACTTCTAAAATGGACTAATGAAGGCCTAATTGCCAAAGTGCCAAACTGTACTTGCACATCTAATTCTAGGTCAATACCAGCAAAAACATCTTTGAGCAAGGTTCTAGCACCACACCAAACGTGTCCGAAGAAGAAGAGCAATGATTTTGTTTATTCCCTAATTTTATTCTCCCTCTGTCCCACAAATCTTTTTCATTTTCGAATTCAATTTTAGTGAATAATTAGAGCTTCTTGCTTGATTTTAAATTATGTAAGCTTTAATTATTAATACGCATATACTACCTACATCCCAAAATTTTCATCCCACTTTGGACTGAAACTGTTATTGATAAAACGGATGTGGTTGATTTAGGAAAAAGGACGAACAATATTAGTCACACAAACCATTCCTTTAAATGAAATCGGAATAAACTTTTGGATATCCAAAAAGAAACGTGAGAAGAAAATTATGGAACTAAATGAATATATATTACTCCCTCCGTCCAATAAAATTCTTCCCACTTTCCTTTTTGGGCCGTCCCAAAAAATTCTTCCCACTTACCATTTTTGGACAATATATATTACCGTTCACATTCATTTCACCTTTTTCTTACACAACTACAATCACACATTTCCACTTTATTCCACTTTCTTAATCTCCGTGCCAATTCAAAGTGGGAATAATTTTCTGGGACGGAGGGAGTATATTATTATCAAGGAAGTGTTAAATTTATCATTACTAAATCAGTCAACTGAACAAGAAAATTATGGAAATAGCATCGGGATATATCAATCAATATTTCTAAAAAAGTAAATTACAGAGAAGTTTAACTTATACCGAATTACCGACTTTTTCATCCTCAGGTCAATTAGAACCACTTATCTCGAGGTTTGGTTAAATTACCAAATAACACTCTCACAAAAAACCTTCCCCGCACTTTTTAAAGAGACGCTGAAATATGAAATGATGTAATGATATTGGTAGGATTGAGATTTAATTTTCACTTTATTATGCTGTCTTTGTCCCAAAGATTCTTTTTTGAGGGAAACATTAAATACTTCAGCCAAAGAATAAACTGCAATTGAAAGAACGGTTATTTACGGAAGACCCGAGTTATAAAAAGGGCTTATTTCCAAGCCTAAGAAATCGCAAGGGTTCTTTGTTAAATTTTCCAGACCTCCCAGAGGTAGATGTAATCAGCCCTAATTCCATCCTCTAGTGGGAAAATAAATGGAAATATTTCAAAACAAAGGTTTGATAACTTACATAGAATGCTGGATAGCTTCATAAGCATCTGATGCAGGGAGAAAGTCATTAACAGCAACTTCCTTGTTCTCGTTCTTCTTATCTAAATAATTATTAAGCTTCCAAACTTTCAAATAATTTGTGTTACATATGAATATTGGTATTAATATGATTAAAAATTTAAATATCAACTCATGTTCTCTAAGCCCTTGTTTGGTATAGAAATTTGGGGAGGGTGGTGATATTTGTTTTATTAATATATTCGCACATTTAGATAATTAGAAGAAAGTGGATGATGAAAATTATATAGAATCACACAATTAAAGAAAACATCTACTTCCTCCGTCCCAAATTGAATTACAATTTGCGGATTTTAAGGTTAACAAACCATAAAGTTGAATCATCACTGTGGATACTTAAATCAGTTTTAATAGTTAAAGTTTTCATATTCAGAAACTACATTGAAAGTTTTATAAAGTAGCGAAATCCAAATTACAAATTAATATAAAATTTTGATATGCTAAACAAGTAAATAAAATTTTGACTAAGATAAGTTGACTTTGCATATCATTTGGGGATGGAAGTAGTATCATTTTCTAGTGCAAGTCCAACAAATAGATATAAATTAGTAAAACAAGAATCAGTCATCCCCTCCCCCTCCAAAATCTCTCACCTAACAAGCCCTAAGATTAATGATCTTAACAGAAGGATACAATCTTCAAAGAAACGGCGGATCTCAGCCAAACGATGTGGTGGAAGCTCCTTGATATCTGTGTAGTGTCGGTACTCTGGGTCATCAGCACAGACTGCAATTATCTTGTCATCTTTTTCACCCTGAATTCCAACAAATGTTAAAATAGTCATTTGTGTTTCTGGAATTAAATCTGACACGGCCTGTATTTACCTGATCAATCATGGGCATAAGACCGATTGCTTTTGCCCGGAGAAAGCAGCCCGGGAGGATAGGTTCCTAATCATCACAAACTACATTCAGCATCTTCAAATTAACCAAATAAGGCAAAATAATATTGTTGTTGTTATTAGTAGTAGAAGTACTAGTACTACTACTATTATAATAATTTTTTTATTATTAGTATTAATTTCCTAATGTTCACATAATAAATGTGTTTGGTACACAAGCATATGCAACCATATTGAGAAAGCATATATTGATGTCAACAACTTTTAAAAGATGTGAGGGAGCTCTTAAAGCTACACGAGCCAAAAAGATATACCCTAGTACAGTTGGAATAAAAGATTTTAAGGAGAAATACAGACCTGCATGATAACCAAAACATCCATAGGGTCACTATCCTCGCAAATAGTACGAGGGATAAAACCATAGTTATGAGGGTAGACAACTGATGAGTAAAGGACTCGGTCAACCTGCACATGAATGTAAGCTTCAGCAGGCGTTATCATGGCAAGTTATGTTCATCCAAAGTGCAAACTTCAAACATTTTCCCCCTTTTTAAAAGATATGAATGATTTCTTACACACCAGTACGTTTTTGTTTAGTTTGAAAAATTGTTCAGTTTAGAACTCAGGCCCAATAAATTGTGAACAGCTAAGTTGCCCCCACCAAACCATGGACTAACTGCATCATATAATACTCCCTCCGGTCCTTAATGAAGGTTACACTTCGACTTCACACATATTAAAGAAATAAATTTGACTTTACTGTAGAGTTCACTGTTTGGCACTGTTTGACACTGTTTAACACTGTTTGGTGTAGATTTGTTTGCCAAATAAGGCAAATAAGGAAGTGTAAAATTTAATATGGGACGGTTCAAAAAGGAAAGTGCAAAGTTAATTAAGGACCGGAGGGAGTACTTCTAAAACTACAAGAACGTTGCATAATTAAAATCTTGTTTAGCTTTTATGAGCATACGCAGAAATATAGCACTACTAGAACATTTTCCAGGTTTCAAACAATATTTACCAGGGCTAAAAATAGGATTTCAGCTACTAAAAAAATAAAAATAACCCATCTAAGTTTAATAATGTTCAATATGATCCTCATATTAAGTTGACCATAATTTGAATTTTAAAAACAATTTAGGTAGTCTTGAATCCTTAATTTTTTTAGCACCCCTGGCTGTCCACATTTCCAAGCTGAACTAGAACCGAATCAGCAGTTCAAAATTAGAATTTTTGGCCAACCAGAACTATAACCGCAAATAGGCTGTTTCTATCTGGTTCGCTTTTCTGATTTTGCATTTCTAAATAATTTAAATTAAAGGGTTCTGAAAATTCTGGTTCAGTTTCCCACAAGCTGACCCGCTTAGAAACACATACACACACACTCGCGTGCAGGCCACACTCACCGCACACAGACACGACACGCACGCCTGAACACACACACACACCTACTCACACATAAAGAGGGGGGATATATATTAGCGTGTGTGTGACTTTTACATACATGAATGACATTTTATACTATAATTATAACACTGTTGTTTTTGTAGTCCTTTTTTGGGATAGTGATATACTCCCTCCGTCCCGCTAAGATTGTCCCATTTTACCTTTTCGGTCCGTCCCACTAAGATTGTCCCATACCAAATTTGGTAAAGTTTGTGTGGCTCTTAATCATTCTTACTTTATTCGTTTTTTATCAATTCATATCAACCACATAAACCACTTTTAAATTGATTGGCGTGCCACTACCTCTTGTCCCATTGTTAGTGGGACGGATGGAGTATATACGAATGATGATTTAATGTTATATTAGCCATGCTTTTGAATTATTATTATTATTATTATCATTATAAACATTATTATTACTTAAAAAATGTTCCAAAGCAGAACCTCCTAGATCCAGATTTTCAAAAACCGAAGAGGACATAGTAACCTACATGTCAGAATCACAGCCTTAATCTGGTTCCGGGAATCTAATTCTGGTCCCGGATCATAAATCGGCAATTCCAGTTCTGGCACTGAGGTAAGAATAGTAAAAGAAAAATGAAAAAATATATTCATTTAAAATGATTTGAAGTAGCATAATTCATTACAAATATTTAACGCTGATGTATGATGTATGCTTTCCTTGTGGATCTGATGTACGTGTTTGTAAATATCATCTTCATCAAATTTACACTTTGATAAAAATATGTTATGTACTTCCATGTTAAAAGTGAGACAGTAGGTCTTTATTAATCTCCTAATACTAACAAATTGGTGCGAGTGTTTAACAGCAATTTTCTTTAATAAGTTCAATTAAACTTTTTAATATTTGGCATCATAGCCAATATCTCAAATGATCGTCGTCGGCTTGTCACATGATATTTTCCATGCATGTGGAAAAAATATGTAATGATGGTGATTTTAGATTTGTCATCTCATCATTCCTTTATAAGAAGGTTGTGCCGGTCTTTTGGGACTAAGGCTTGGATGTTGTTGTTGTAAGAAGGTATCACCAGGAAAGGGATCGCTCGAACCACTAATCCACTATGCATTTTTGCATCAACTTATAGTGTTAAATAATTTTATACAATTAATTAGCACTGTCTTAATATGGCCAACCTGAACTTGTTGTCGTTGAACTGGTGATGATGATGATAGCTAATATATAGTTTCAAAGTTTAATTGATTTATTAGGTCACGTTAAATGACATTTATATATGCTTTCACTTTATAAATTATTTTCAAGCTTCTGGTCTTACTTGGGCATTGACTATATTGATATGATTTAATAAGAACGTTAACAACATATGTTAGAAAAGATGTAATTGTTTCATCTACAAACTGTTTTAAGATAACAACAGGTGAGGCATTTTACCTTGATAAGTCCAGTTTTCTTATCCAGTTCATATTTCACTTTACTCCCTTTGCTGATCTCAATGACCTGCATACATGATAACAGATTAACTTGAAATCCTTAGACACAAAAAATTAAGATATGAGATATCAATCAATGTGTGGTTGTATTGTTCATCAGGACTGGATTTGGTCAACCAAGCTAATGCAAACAGATGAGCGCCATGTGTAAATGAACATTCAAGTAGGAGAAACCTTAATATTTAAAGTATTTATGGTATTAATTCAAAGGATGACATTAAGAGTGTACAACAAGATCCAATCCCTAAAATAAAACATAACAGTTTCTGTTTTTAAACAATCAATAAAGTTCAGTGGGTTGGAGCGTATGACAATATAAAGTATCATTGTTTTTTCAATTTTCTGAAAGCTTTGCTCTTGAGACTTCTTACAAAATCCACTTGTTTGCTTGTTGCAGACAAATGGTTATACGGTGCATAATGCTTTCAAATCAAATGATAAAAATCAGGTACACAGCATTAAGTGAGGCACTGTTTGCCACATGGTAAACAGTGTGGAATAGCATTAATGTGGAATAGCATCCTGCATTCCTCATAATAAGTCTTTCAATAATATTCAAACAGTGTAAAATTGAGATTACATTTTAAAAGGGATGTAAGCAGAAAGCTAGAAGCAAAGTGAGGGCTTACAGCATTGAAAACCTTTGGACATCCAGGCCCTGCATCACAGAACATAGATAATGTAAATTGAAAGTACAAAGGCTAGTATCAGCCATCAGGTCATGCATGAGATCTCTAAAAATAAAAGAATTTTGTCAAATACCTATCTCAAGGTCATGCCAAGGATGGGCTGCAACTGATTTTCGGGTCATGGAAGATAAAATCCTTTCATTAAGAGGTGGCCGTGAGGTCTGATTATTTATGGGAGCTTTCTCTAATGTTTCAATAGGAGGGACCATAGTTGCAATCTGCGCATCAAAGCAATACAATTATAATGAGCAGTTGAGCACAGCGAATATATGTCCTCAGTAAACAAATTGTGTTGCACTGCTCTCTGGCGAGTGGCAAAGAGACATGAATATTTATCTAAAATCCCACTCTCCAACTTTCATGATATTGATGATTAAGGATGTTTCTGATTTTACTCAGTTTTTCTTGTCTAGTTTGATCTATTTAAATAAGTTTTGGTCTCTTAAACTCTAATGTGAGTAAACTTCTATTGTAGGTGTATTTAACTATTATCTAAGTCCAGTCTAGGCTGTTTAATTGTGATATGGTCTCTTTAATTGAAATCAGTACAATTTAAAACATCTTAATGCTTCTGCTCTATTAAAAGTTTTTTTAAATTCAGCAGATTAGGATGTTTCAACCAAAATTTCATCCATTTTAGCAGGGTTGGCCAATTCAGCCCATTCCCAAACGGGCTCATACACGCTAGAAATGGGACAACATCCTGGACCTCCATAAAAGTTCCCATCACACGACTGAAAGGCTGAAAACCGTGGAAATGAAAAAACAATTGCAAATAAACCCACATCAACACTCATAGACACACTCGTACATAATATTCGAATTCCAATGTGAGAAATAGTTAGCGTCAGCTGGGATAACCAGCACGATTGTTTAAGAGAATGAAGGCGATACACAATTGGTGAATTGGGGATGATTAGTAACTTCAAACAGCTCCAAATGCGGGTGTTTATAGAAACGTAGATTTCACGCGTTCACCAACTGGAATGAGTGAAGTCTGAAGACTTACTTTGTATATCTTTTCAATACAAAAAAAGAAACAGAAATCCAGTTGGTGAGTGAAGTCTGAAAACTTACTTTGTACTTGTATATCTTTTCAATACAAAAAAAGAAACAAAAATTTGCAGAAAACGGAATATAGAAGAATTTTTTTTGCTAAACGCACTTCGGAGTATATTATACTAACAGATACGTATATGCCGAAATGAACAAAAGCACAATTGCCGCGAAATGAGCAGAAGTTTAAGGGAACGAAGAAAAAAAAGGGCGTGAAGAGAGTCAATCCACACCTCCGGAGAAGAAACGGAAGCTAGCGTCGGGTGAATGAAGTCAGATCTGAGCAAGCGTAACAACAACGGCGAAGAGTAGAGAAAAAAATAAAAATGATTTTAGAAAGAGAAAAAGTTTAGAGGGCGGGCTGTTGACGCCACGCCGAGTTCCTGCTACGTTCAGCAACGTATCATTTATGTCCAGCATGATTTTTTATGGAACTTGAATGGCCCCACTTTTTTTTTTTTGTTGATATTGGATTTATTTTGCATCCCAATACATCATACTTTGTGAAGAAAAATTTATGAATGGGATACAACATCAAAAGATTTTTAAGAGAAATGGGATGTGATGGAGTTTGATTCAACTATGAGAGCTGATCTACGGGAGCAGATGAAATTTAGGCAATGTAAGGCAGCATAAATGCATTATTATTCCGGAAAAATCCGATCCTTGGTAGGATGTGTACATGAAGTATTTATAGACCCCGGATTCTACTATTCTAGGAGGAAACTAATCCATTTAATGCAATTAATTAGAATAGAGTCATGTAACGTCGCAATGATTGTTTCCTCCAGGTCCACGTTCCTTCCGTTATTTCATGCCGCTGTCAGATAGCTATGTTCGAATGATAGTCTGCCCCGTAAGCTATAGAAAAAGTCTGACCTCGCTAAAACTCCGCTCATGCTCGAGGTCTGCTGTCCAGCCCGACCTGGTTGTGGGTTCCTTTCACGGGTTGGATTCATTATTAGGCTCAGCGGCTATTATTTATCATTAATCCCGATTAATGGGCTAATCTCGTTGATAGGCTTTGATTTAATTCATTCGTCGGGCATGGTTGTGATCCATGGTACCATCACGAGCCCCCCTACTCTCTAAAATCAGTCGGGTTGTATCTTAGGAGAGTAGCAAGATTTCAAATTTTGAATTTTCCATTTGTGGCGCCGTTTCGCATTAAATGCGAGTGGCACGTGCCTGGATTCACAACTTCCCACTCCACCGTCCCATCTTCAGCACTCGAGTGCCTTGGTAGCGGTTCCAGAGCGGTTTGAGAGACATTAGGGTTCCCACTATAAAAGGTACACTTTCTTCTTCGTGCAAACCTTCTGATAGCCTGCATTCTTCAAACCCTAGGCAAGAAAGCTTCTTTCATCGTTCTGACTTCCCTTCCCAGGTCAGTTCATCCATGTCTTCTTCCAGTTCTGTTCCCCTTCACAAGATCTTCCCCGATGATGGGGCTAGTTCCAATCGGGCTAAAATCCCGGTGGACTCTCGGGGAATAAAAACTCATTTCTATCTCTCAGCTGATTTTGCTCGCACGATTTTGGTCGTCGCCATTTCAGATGCTGAATTTAGTAAAGTGGTGGCCCTCGTCACGCCCAACGTGGTCTGTTCTCGCCCTAATCCGGGGTAGAACATTGTAGAGCCCCTTCCCCTTCACGTTGGGGTCCATCTGTCTAATCTCGAAATGGGCCTCCGCTTTCCCCTCCACCCCGCTCTTTTGCATGTTATGGTCCACTATGGGGTCATCCCTGGTCAACTCACTCGTACCACGCATTTGTTCATTGTCGGGTTCATAGCCCGGTGCCTTTCTCTCAAGATTAGGCCAACCCTAGATATGTTCTTGACATTCTTCCACTCGGTCCGGTCTAATGCCTCCGAGACTCATGCATTCTTCTCAATCTTTAGAGACACACATTCACACACTCTTGCCCATTGCATGAAATGACGAAGCCATTAGTTCACCTCCACTCATCCACATTTCCACTTCCGTGTATAACCATACATGTTCCCCTTAGGTGAGGCCCCGTTGAGCTCAATCATTTCTTTGTCAATCCGTTATGGCTCTATGGCCATATTGTTTCGACTTGGAACCGTTTTGGGTGTTTGAGTTTTCATTAGGCTTTGACACGTACACAATGGGTGGATTTACCTTAAATTTTGCCCTTTGAGAGGGTTGGGATGCAATGACAACTAAGGTGAGCATGACAGCCTTTTGAATCCTAATGCTCTTGATTTTTCAGGTTGTGTCGAAGTTATTGATTTGGAACATTATCCTCGGGAATTTACATGAGATAATCCAACAAATCAATAATTAAGCACATCCATAACCAACCATTCTTCAAAAAAAAAGTGATGATTCATCCCCTGTTTGAACCAAAACCCCTTTTGCACACTCAAACTATACACTAACAGGTGGTTGGGTCTTGGGTGTGTACTATTGCTTGCCCACTATACCCCTTCGGGTAAGAACCCTAATTGCAGATTACTGGCCTTTGATTACTCTTACACCCGACCATTTTTACAGTTTTGACATTAACCTTCACCTTAACCACCCATACCCTTCATGTATCTTAAATCTTAACCATCCCAATAAGCCCTTTTGATCATGCATCGAGTTTAGAATGTGATAGAGAGGTGACCTCATGAGGATATGAGTGAGAAAAATGTTGATTGTGTGCTTGTGTTACTTTCCACTTGTCTCTTTGCCTAACGATTTGAACAATGAGCATCTTTATCTTGTTTATGCATTTTTTCTCTTGCACTCGCTATTCTTCGCATTCCTCATTCATTCTTGATTCAATTGATTGGTGTATTGGGAACTCGAGTTTTAGCTTGCTTGGGGACAAGCAAGTACTTACGTGTGAGTGAATTGATAAAGCTTAAATTTGCATATTTTGATCACTCATTTTACCCCATATTTTTATTGACTCGGGTTTAATTGTGCTTTATGCGCTTTCATGCTTACAATTATCAGTTCTGCTTTATTAACGGGTGCTACTAATGTTTTTATGAGTTCTTTAGACAATTTCTAGCATCCCGAAGCAAGCACAGAAGACCCATAACAAAAAAGTCAATCCCGGGTCAAACTTGAGCTAACCCGGCTAAACAAGTCAACAAACAACAAACAAGAACTAACGCAGCAGATGGAGTTCACGCATGTTGAGAGCGTCTCTCTCTGGAACCCTCGTTCCAGACTCACGCGGAAGGATGGTTGCCGCCGATTCTTTGATTGAGCTGCGTTTTCTGTGTTTGTTGGATGATTTTCACTCCCTCTTTGATTTCCGAGCTAGGTTTAGTCACTGGTATACTGTTTTTAGGCCAACTTGGCCAAAAACAATTTGTTTGTGCGAAGGTTACTGTTCGTATTTCGCAGGTGCTTCATTGCAGAACTGGTTAATCAGGACTGGTGTGGTACTCTACATCTCCGGACCGGCTAGCAAACCTGGATTTCGTCTGTCTCTGCACCCTGGTCAGATTCGTTCGTATTTAGGTCTGAAAAAGGGTCCTGTGGTGTGCGATGCGGAAAAATAGACGCGAAATTGGGGAAATCCCAGGATGCGATGTACTCGATCTTCGTCCAGGTTTGATGTGCTGGGAGATATCGATGTTGAAATCCCAGTCGCCTGTGCGAAAATTCCGGGTACAGTGGCTGCAGAATTCACTACTGCTGCGGAAATCACTGTTGTTGCAGGGACGTTGGTTAAGCAGGCAGCGCTGCAGCCTGGGATTATCACCAAGTCCAGTTTCCAAGCTTTAGAAAACTTGGATGAGAATTTCCCTCAACCGCAGACTACGAATGTGATGAAACTGGGAGACAAACCAACTGCTGCTAAGGTTAAAACTCCTGGGAAACCCACTGGGGATTTGCCTACACCTGTGACTGCAAAGAAGGATGGAACAACTACTAGTATAGATGGACTTACTGCTACATGGGCCTTCCATGCCTCTTCTGAGACACTTCTTACTGCTAAACCTGGGCAGACCACTTCTGGGGAGATTGGGAAAGCTGGGCAGATTTCCCAAGCTGCAGGTGCTGAAAAAACGGGCAGATTATTGTGCAGAAGGGGCCTGCTTCTCACGCAATTGCTAAGCAGTCAGTAACTGTCAATCCACTTGAGAAGAAGCAAAAAACAAATGGGGATGCAGGGGCTGTCCAAAAATCGTGGTCCTCACTGTGTAAAGACAATCGCAACCCTTCAAATGGTTTGAAACTAAGGTATATTCCGCCAAAAGGCACTTCCTTAGACTTTACGAATAGAACATTGTCTTCTATGGTTGACATGTGGGGATTTTGCCTTGTGGGATTCTTTACCGGGAACTTTCCAGGCCTTAAGGCAATATATGATATGAAAAACACTTGGGGGGTTAGTTGCCTAGTTAAGTCACATAACAAGGGGTGGATTATTTTCAAATTTCAAAATAATGAAGATAGAACAAAAGTGTTGAATGGAGGTCCTTATACCATCTTTGGAGTACAACTCATGTTAAAAGCACTTTCTGAAGATTTTTCCTTTGATGATGATGAATTTCTCAAAGTTCCCATTTGGGTCAAATTTTCCAATTTACACGTGAAACTTTGGAATGAGGAGGCTATGAGTGAGGTTGCTTCTATGGTAGGAGTCCCACTTTCTACGGACAAAGTAACTCAAGATAGGAGTAATCACCACTTTGCTAGAGTTTTGATTGAAGTTGATGTTTCCAAACCACCTCCGCTAACATTTCCTATACGATTACCTTCCGGTAAGGTAGTCAAACAAATGATGGTTTATGAAAGTTTCCCCAACTTTTGTTTCCACTGTAAAATGTACGGGCACCACCCATTTATTTGCAAAAAATGGACATCAAAAGAACGGGACGAGGCTATTGTTGAAAAGAAAGAGGAAATTGTGAATGAGGTTATTCAAATAATACCCAAGGTCATAGAAAAAGAAAAGCTGCCAATGAAAGAGGTCCAAGAGGGAATCATAGAAAATGGGGTAAGGGATGAGATTAGAGAAAAGCTCCTGCCAGACACAACTACATCGAATGAATCGGCTGTCATGCCCGAATCAGAGGGGGAAGATGACGAAGAAGACGAGGAATCGGACGATGAGTCGAGAGATGAGGAGGAACAAAGAATTCTTGATGAGTACTGGGAAAAAATCACACAATATAAGGAAATGAAGAAAAAGATGGAAGCTGAACCTGCTCAAATAGGATTAGGCTAATTTGATACGATTAAATTTTGGATTGTTTCTTGATGAGTTTTGATTAGGTTTGAAATGGGGCATGTCCCATTACCTATTTTGTGAGATATTATGTTTAGGTTAGAGTATTCTAACTTAGGTAGTTATATTGATTCAGTTATTTTTGGATGCTTTATATATACTTACATTTCTTTAAAAAAAAGAACTAACCCAGCAGGCAGAAGAAGAAGAAGAAACAGGCTCTGCCCGTAGCACCACGGCAGCTGCCGCCCAGTCGCGCCGGAGTCCAAGCCATCACCACCGCCCAGGTTGCTGCTCCCATGGCCGATGTGCCTCGCGTCAGTGAAGAAGACCCGCTGCTACGCTGGTCCCTGTTAATCGTCGCTGCAGACCGACGCGCCACAGTCGAAGTCTTCACCAGAGCCTACACCGCCTCCTAGCCACGCCGGAATCTGTTCGCCCTAGATCAACAGAGAAGAGGAGAGAAGCAGTGCCGGAAATCCTCAAGAGAAGAAGCTGCAATCTAGCGACGGAGAAGGCGATATCCAGCAGAAATCTGAGCTTCATCGTCATTGTCCTGTCGCCGGCGACTATTGCTCACGAGAAGATCGAAGTCGGCTGCTGCTCCGTACGAATGAAGAAGGCCCCGAAGAGAAGAAGCGAAGGGCTAAAAGCCTAATCTTATTTTCAGCAGCGAAATGACCAGAATACCCATCAGCTTCTTTTGTTTTACTTTTCAGACTGCTACCCTTAGTGGTCATTTTGTCAAGCCCGAAAATCACACTTATAAAACCACATTTCAGATCAGATTTGAGGGGAGGCCACTAGTCTCGTTTTAGATAGATTTTACATTTTTTAAGAGGATAGATTTTACATTTTAGCAAGGGTTTTTGCATTTCTTCTCTAGACATTAGTGTTGATTTGTAGAGATTTGTCCTCCAAGATTCAAGCTTTCCTCTTGCACTTCAATGAATTGCTTCTCATCTATTCGGGTGATATTTTTCTACATCTTCTACTTTAATTAAATACAAGTTTAAGTCTTTAATTTTATTTAGCACTTTCTTATTATGTTTTTTATTTTATTTGCAATGCATGAGTAGTTAGATTGGTGAGGGGGAGCTTCTCTATGTGATTGAATTGTTGGGTGACTAGTATTGAATTTTATTGCTTGAAATGTGTTTGTGAAAATGCCTCAATGACATTAATTAATGCAATTTTCAGAAATCTTGTATTTAATTACTTAGGGAATATTCCAATGAGAATTGGATATTCATTTGCCCTTTTCACACACACCTAGGCATGATCATAAGAGTTTTGGACCATGAGAGTGGCCAAGACGGTTTATTGACCGATCCTACGACCATGAGAGTGGCGGAGGAACCGTTGTGCATGTTCTTTCTTGTGATAAAGTTCTAATACTATTTTGTCCAACCTTCAATCGCAATGTGAGTTCCAAACATGCCCCCGACACCCATTTACATCTTTATTTCGTAGTTTAGCTCATTTAGCATCTCTTCTTGATCATATCATGTTTGCGTTGTAGTCTCGTTTGCTTCACTTTAGTGACACATTTCCCTATTCGATCGTTGCACTCACTTACACGACATCTCTTTGGTTCGACAAACCCCGTCCCACTTACCACTATACACTTGATTTTTTCCCGCATTATCATTTACATTTTATTTTCCTTCTTTTTGATTGACCCGGCATTCACACGCAACAACCTATTTATATCATATCATAGGTGGGTCACGACCTCATCACGTACTCTATAGTAAAATTTACCCCTAATACATTTGTTTTCTTAATATGTATGAAGTCAAAGTGTCAAGTTAATTAAGAACCAAAAGGAGTATAATATAGCAATTGTATTATCGAATGACACAATACTCTTGCCATTATTAAAATACATATAAAGTTATTGCACATAATTAAATGGAGCACAAAAAGGAGGCTAGTGATGTTCACTAGGCAATAATATGGAGTACTATGATTATATTTTACACGATTATGAATCAAATACATTCATTTACTTGTTTTTAGATTCTTTCACCAATTGGTAACTGAAATCCCAAAGCTCTTTTCCTAAAGCTTCGTTTCTTGCCATTTTGGTGGGCTTGCACACATTGCAGTCAACGAAGTACTTTCCTGATACGCCTTTCACATTGGGATGAAGAGCCACATAACAGGTTGTAGCTGCCCCCTAGAAAGGCATAAGAAACATCATCCATTACAGTATCACATATAGTCACTAAAAAAGATTTAGTCACTAAAAAAGATTTATTCACATTTTTGTCCATATCCTTTTTATTTATTTGTAATATTTTAGGAAAATTGAAAAAAAAATCCACTATATTACTTTTGGGAAAGTGATGGATAAAAATGTGAAATTGTAACTTTTAGTGACTATAATTGTTTTCAAAGTTCTATGTTTGCAGTGACTATAATGTAACTTTGAACACAATAATAATCATTAAAAATTATTAAACCACATTCTTTTATTAGTACGGAGTAATATTTTAGTAAAAAAACTCTATTTTTTTCACCAAAAGATGTGATTTTAGCCCCATATTACTTTTAATTATATATATGTACGCCCTTCCAAACTACGGAATATATTTCGTTCAGTTCAATATGTTTTGAAAAGTCACATGCTCACCTCTCATTGTCTCATTGAATTGGTGGCCTGTATCTCTAACATGTTGAAAGGTTTTTTTTTTTCGTTTTTTTTTTCATTTTTTATTTTTGTTGTATATGTATATATATGACGGTGTTTGATAGTAAGCGGATAACTACTACGTATTTACGGAGATGGAATTGTGTGGACAATTAATAATTAAAGAAATTGTCTTAAACATGATTAAACAATGTGAAATTCCAACAAAGAAGCACTTGTTTTTAATCCATAAATATGAGTAACTACTATCATGTTTGAAAATGCAATAATATGTAATCATGATGACTTGCGGACAATAATTTGATTTTACCTGAGGGACATTCTTCCAAATCACAGAAGTGAAAATCCTTAAAACATCTGTAAAGAATTTGAAGAGTTTTGATCACAATCAGTGACTTGAAATATTAATTGGTTAGTAGTGATGTGATGTGATGTGTGAGTATATACATACTCATAAGGATGGTTGAATGCTTCATAAGATTTGTCATTATCAACCCTGGGTGCACCGAATTCACAGTTATATTTGCTCCCTCTTCCTGCATGCACGCGCGCATGCATCAAAATGTATGTTTATATACATGTCATTTTTGTAAGGAAAATTGGATATGTACACTTGATTAGTGCATAAATTGTATAAAGTTAAAAACATTTTTTGTAAAAGTGTGTGTGGTGAGGCAGTTGAGTTGAAACTATAAATGAAACAAAAGAATTAATTCTTTTCTCAAAACAAATTAAACTTAACTAGTACGTAAAATGTTTTGTTCGTTATACTAAGTATATTGCATAGTTTAGACGAAGAGCGGGAGTGAGTAGGGCCATTCTTTGCTCAAGGGTGAGGAGGATTGAGTCCCAGGGCCCCAAAAAACCTAAAAAAATTAGGGATCCAAAATTTTATATACCTTTACATTAAACATAGTTAGGAGAATGATCCTGTTAGGCCGGCTTAAGATGATCCAACATACTGGATAGAGGCAGCTGCATGACGGATCATTTTAGGCCAGCTTGACATGGCCATTCTCATCAAGTTTGGATCCGTTTGGTTCATGTTAAAATTTAAAATAGTCATTTATAGAATGTAGTTTTAAAATTATGTTTGGTTCGGTTATAGTAAAAAAATGTACTACGTAGTTTTTAAATTCGGTTTGGTTCTTACTTTTTTCGGTTCCTTATAAAAAATTATTATCCTCCTAAAATGAACACATTTCAAGTTCTGTTACATAAAAATATTCAAATTTCAAATCATGAAAATAAATTGTCAAATTTATTACCATTACATTTAGAGATAATTACTAATGTATATTGTTGACATAGATTATGCGGACTTAATTAATACTTTTACACCTAAAATTGTTCGGCGTGTTATACTTAATTAGTTTTTTTAATACATTTAGTATCATTTTTTATAATGTAAGACTTTTATTTAAGTATTTCATTTTTTGATATTTAATCATTTAATTTTAATGAAGCTATATGACAAACAAGGGGGCGAATTTCAATCATGTACAAACAATGTTTGTCGTGCAAATATTTATTTGTACGATGCATCTTTACGCTATTTGTATTGCATATTATCTTTCAAATTGTTACATCCTTAAAAAATTTGATTTCATTACCAAAATGTCACCGTGTGTCTATAGGCTTTAGATCAACTCATCGAAAGCCAAGTTGAGTTTGTAGTTTGTAAATTAGAGTGTGTTTGTGTTTGATCTCTTAACCGCCAAACAAACACTATATATATCCAAGGGCGTTTTATGAAGCCGCTCGCCTCAGACGAGAATTCAAGTAGGATCAGTACTAAAAAGTGAGTAATGAATTATGAATATATATAATAGTGTGTGTCAGTGTGTAGTTGGAGGTAGCTAATAAGCTAGGTGATACATGCATTATGAATTATGATACTCCGTAGTAAAGATACAGAGGTGCAACAACATCAATATTTATGCATCTGGATCCGTAAATCTTACTCCATATATAATATAATATAATATAATCTAATATAATAATAACGTAGCTTAGAGTTATTACCCGTAGTCGGCGAGACAAGTGATTAGCATGTAATATGTTGGCTAGCTTGGAGCGCCCATATGCCATTTTGTCATTATAACTGATCCATCCATTATATATTCAGTAGGTCGGTAGGAAACAAAACGTAAAGATGATTTGAATGAATGAAGTATGAAATCGAAGGCATATATATATTCATACACAAAACGTAAAGTGGCCGGTAGGTGTAGCTAGGTCCGTAACGTACCTTTTCTTGTCATTGATGTGGTCAAATTTGATTCCTTTTCTGCAGGGGTAGCGGTGAGCTATTGATGAGAGATTGACGATCCTGCCCTGGATGCCGGAGGCCTTGGCGGCCGCCTTCATGTTGTCCAGGAGAAGGTTTGTGAGGTGAAAGTGACCCAGATGGTTGGTGGCGAACTGCATCTCGTACCCGTCCTCGGAGAGCTGGAACGGGCAGAACATGACGCCGGCGTTGTTGATGAGGATGTTGAGCGGGAGGGAGAGGGCGTTGAACTCCTCGGCGAAGGCCTTCACGGATTTCAGGGAGGAGAGGTCCAGCTTCATCACATCCACTCGGGCCTCCGGGTTCTCTCTCAGGATCACCTCTCTCGCCGCCGCCACTGCGCCCTCCGTGTTCCTCGCCGCGATTATCACGTGGGCTTTCCTCAGCGCCAACACTCTCGCCGTCTCCAACCCTATCCCACTCCCCCCGCCTGTCACGATGGCCGTCAGGTTGGACGCGTCGATGCCCTCGCTCACCTGCGCCGCCGTCGACGCTGACCCGAACCCACTCGCCCCTGCTATCCCACTTATCGACCTAAGCATCTTCACTTACCAGCAGCTTATAAGCAAATCAAATTTTATGGCTTGGCTTGGATTGGTCTCTCACAATCAATCCCAGGCACCCAGGCAGGGGCCTATTTATAGATGCCCGCCTCGGGGAAGCTAAGCGGGAGTCACACGGTTTGTGTGAACAAATTATATATGCAATTATAACATACGCAATTATTATAACCATAATAATATTGGTATACTCCCCTCCGTTCCTATTATAACTTCTAACTTTTCTTTTTCGTCCGTTCCAATTAAAACTTCCACTTTCCCTTTTTGGTAAAGAATTGTGGTTCACGACATTTCTCTCTCCTCTGCACAATTCTCCACCACACAATACCCACTATCTTAAATTGTGTGCCAAACCAATTTGGAAGTTATAATAGGAACGGAGGTAGTATAATTTTTTAAATTTTACTCTTTTATGAAAATATTTAATTGAATAAGAAACATTTTGATATAATTTTCATATTCAAAATAATTTCATATTAAAAATATCATTAGTCAAAGTTGATTGTCATTGACAAAAAGAAGTCAATTTGGTGAACCTTTTCTAACTTCACTTGATTTACGAATCAAGTATGTTGCAAAATTCAGTGGTTTTCGAATGAGGCTTGAAGGTTTCCGAAATTGGGTTTGTGGTTCCCAAACGGAGCACTTCGTAAAGTTCGGTTTCAAAAAGTTATACTACCTCCGTCCCAATTTACTTAGCCAAACTTGACCTTTCAAGTCAACGGTCTCTAACTTTGACCAATTATTTAAGCTAATATATTTGTGCAAAATTTAATAATTTTATACTTTTATGATAGTGTTTTTAACAAAGAACATTTTCATATTATCAATACTTTCTCTATATAAACATATAATCGGTCAAAGTTAGACGTCGTTGACTTGAAAAGTCAAGTTTGGCTAAGTAAATTGGGACGGAGGGAGTAGTAATTTTTGAATTCCCCAAGTTTCCAAAGAGGCTTGCGGTTTTCGAGTCTTCCAAGTTTCCGAACGGGGCTAGGTTTCTGAATTGAGCTCTTATTGAAAATTTTCACCAAAAAATTAAGATGTATGTATGTGTGTGTCATTCCTATGTTGATGTAGGAAACTGTAGGCCTCATTTATGGAAACGGTATACCTCCACCGTGCGTCCCTCCGTGTGTGGTGGGCAGTAGCCCCAAGTGAAAAATCGGAGCAACGCACGTCGTGCGTGGCACCCAGATTGCTCAACATGGGGTTTTTCACGGCGTTTTGCGACGTTAAGACGTCTCCTTGATCCCAAACATGTGTATGAACATAATAAACCTCCATAAATTTATAGCTATGATAGGAAAGGCAATCTTACGTGAATGATAAATGTAGGAACACTACAGATTAACAGGAGATACACAAGAATCCTCATTGATACAGGGGCACAACGATCATTTGTGAGTGAGTCATTCACCAAAGGATTCAACGAACCGCTAGTACCGATGACTCAAACTCTATTGGTTTCCACACCTTTGGGAGATGACATCGAAAGAGATAGCCATTATCCCTCGTGTGAAGTGGAAGTAGAGGGTCAAACCTTGACGTGTGATTTTGCACCATTGGGTATGATTGAATTCAATGCAATCCTCAGGATGGATTGGGGTGAGAAGCATCATGCCAAGGTCGATTGCTACACAAAGGTCTTCAAACTTGAAAGCGGTGAAGGATTGATCCTACACTTTGAGGGAGACATGGGCAAGGCAACCAGTTGTATTATATCTGTCGTGAGGGCACGGAAGATGATGAAGAAATGATGTCACGCGTACCTTGCTTACGTGGTAGATGAGACAAAGAAAGAAGTTGACATCAACGATGTACGTATTGTGTGTAAGTATCCGTACGTCTTCCCCAAAGACTTACTGGGGCTTCCACCCGATAGGGAAATCGAATTCGTGATCGAAGTGGAGCCAGGAACCAAACCCATTTCGATTCCTCCTTATCGAATGGTACCAGCAGAACTCCAAGAGTTGAAGGTCCAACTGCAAGAGTTATTGGACAACGGATTCATTAGACCTAGTAATTCACCGTGGGGGGCACCGGTAATCTTCGTGAAGAAGAAATACGGTACCCTAAGAATGTGTATTGACTACCGACAACTGAACAAGGTCACAATCAAGAATAGATATCCTCTACCGAGGATTGATGATTTGTTTGACCAACTTCAGGGAGCAATGGTGTTTTCAAAGATCGATTTGAGGTCGGGCTATCATCAATTGAAGATCAAGGAAAGTGACATACCTAAGAGCGCATTTCGCACTAGATACGGTCACTACGAGTTTCTAATGATGTCATTTGGTTTAACCAATGCACCGGCGGCATTCATGGACTTGATGAACCGTGTGTTTAATGAGTACTTAGATCAGTCTGTGATTGTATTCATTGATGACATCTTGATATACTCGAAGAACGAAGAAGAACATGAGCATCACTTAAGGCTTGTACTTGAGCGACTAAGGGAAAAACAACTCTTTGCCAAGTTCTCTAAGTGTGAATTTTGACTCAAGGATATTGGCTTCCTCGGTCATATCATATCCGGTTCGGGCGTTGTGGTGGATAACGCCAAGATAACAGCCATCATTAATTGGGAGAGACCCAAGAGTGTGAAATAGATACGTAGTTTCCTTGACTTAGCGGGTTATTATCGTAAATGTGTTGAGAAATTCTCCGTGTTAGTGTCACAACTAACGAAGCTCACGAAGAAGGGGGCTAAGTTCGTATGAGACGACAAATGTGAGAAAGGATTTCTTGAGCTAAATAAACGACTTACTGAGGCGTCAGTTCTTGCGCTACCCATACAAGGTATAGGGTACGATATATATAGTGATGCTAGCATCCAAGGGCTTGGGTGCGTACTAATGCAAAGGGGAAAGGTGATTGCCTATGCTTTGAGGTAATTGAGGAAAAACGAGGTGAACTACCCTACCCATGACCTAGAGTTGGGAGCGGTAGTGTTTGCACTAAAGATTTGGAGGCATTATCTCTACGAGGAGACATGTCATATCTACACCGATCATAAGAGATTGAAGTATGTATTCACGCAGAAAGAGTTGAATATGAGGCAAAGGAGATGGATGGAGTTAATCAAAGACTATGACTTGATCATCGACTATCATCCCGGAAAGGCCAATGTAGTGGCCGATGCACTAAGCAGGAAGAGTACGTCAGGGACATTGTTCACATGCCTACAGGCATTGCGGGAACACGTGGAGGTGTCCTCGAGCGGGGCGCTCATAGCTAGATTTGAGGTTAGAACCACGTTGCTGAGTGAGATCAGTAGAGGTCAGGGCATTGATGAAGAATGTCATAAGATCCGTGAACGGATCCTTGCGGGACCCATTGAGAATTTTCGGGTACGTGATGATGGTCTTTTGTTGTTCAAAGGTAGTGTATGCGTACCAAAGGATGAGGAGCTCCGGAAATCCATACTTGAGGAGGCTCATTCTTTAGCCTATGCTTTGCAACCAGGGGGTACAAAAATGTACCGAGACCTGAAAGAAAGTTATTGGTGGTCCGGTATGAAGAGGGACATCGCAGAGTACGTGAGTCGATGCCTTACTTGTCAGCAAGTTAAGGCGGAGCATCAACACCCGACAGGGCTTTTGCAACCACTTACCATTCTAAAATGGAAGTGGGAACATGTGACAATGAACTTTATGGTAGGGTTACCACGGACTGTGAACAACTACGATGCAGTATGGGTGGTGGTTGATAGGCTCACCAAGAGTGCACATTTCTTGCCTATCAACATCACTTATCCTCTTGAACGATTGACCAAGTTGTACACAGAGGAGATTGTGAGGTTACATGGAGTTCCAATATCCATTGTCTCGGATAGGGACCCACGATTCACATCTAGATTTTGGCCAAAGTTTCAGGCATCCTTGGGGACTAAACTGAAGTTTAGTACCGCATTTCACCCACAGACGGATGGACAATCCGAGCGGGTGATACAGATTTTGGAAGACATGCTTAGGACATGTGCTTTGGAGTTCCAAGAGAGTTGGGACAAATACTTGGCTCTTGTGGAGTTTGCCTATAACAACAGTTATGAGGCGAGTATTGGCATGCCTCCATACGAGGCATTGTACGAGAGGAAATGCAGAACACCGTTATGTTGGGACGAGGTTGGCGAGGCCAAGCTCGAAGGTATAGAACTGATTGAGATCACCAAGGCTAAGGTGAAGGTCACCCAGGACAGGCTTAAGGCTGCCCAAGATCGGCAGAAGAGCTACGCCGACAGACGGCATAGACCGTTAGAGTTCGAAGTCGGTGATGAGGTATTTCTAAGGATTACTCCTTGGAAGAGTATCATCCGATTCATATCGAGAGGTAAGCTTAACCCCCGATACATTGGTCCGTTTGAAATCCTTGAAAGGATTGGAGCCGTAGCTTATCGGCTCAAGTTGACACCTGAACTTGAGAAGATACATGACGTATTTCATGTATCCATGCTCAAGAAATATGTACGAGATCCGTCTCACATTCTTGAGAAACCACCGGTGGAGATCCGTGAGGACTTGCAATATGCGGTGGAACTGGTGGAGATTGTTGGTCAACAGATAAAGAAATTGAGGAACAAGGAGATTCTTATGTTAAAGGTTCTATGGAGAAGTGATCGAGTCGAAGAAGAAACATGGGAGACCGATGTCTCAATGAGGGAGCAATACCCGTTTCTTTTCGATTAGATACATGGATTTCGGGGACGAAATCCCAAATAAGGGGGGGGGGGGGGGGGTGAACTTGTAACAACGTCCCCAATTGTATTTACTTTTATGTAAATCTTGTATTGGATCTTATGAACTGGTTAATGAATTTACGGTGTGGTAAATTTTTGTTGTTTCTTTTGCGTGAATAGTGAATTTTACGCGGGGCCCACATCGAGAGCGGGGACCACCCTACATTTCCGAAACCGCATATTATATTCATCTTGGTCTAGGTAATATGCATATGGTGGTGGATATTTTAGTCGGGCCATGGAAAGGGCATAAGGTTGACCGATCGGTCAAACAGGGCCCAATTACCCGTATTGGGGATTTATCGGATAACAGTCCAAAATGAATTTTGGAGAGTTCCAAATTAAATATGAGGAATGTATATTCATTCTAAGAGTCCATAATGATGGGAAACACATAATATATTTTATTTGACCTGATAAAATAAAATATAGTTAAAACAGTCTGAAAAATACAACTTTCGAGACCAATTGTACATTTCGAGACATTAAGAGATGACCTCCCACATGAGTGGGGATCACCCCACGTTTTTTGAGCTCAAATTCATTGAGGAGGCTGTACAACATGATAGGAGGGAGGGTGAGAGGATGCATGAATTGGGAGAGGACATGAGGTGGGCCTATTACCTCACACTCATTGTCCTATTGAGACAAAAGAGCCATTCTCACCCCTCCCCTCCATTATGCTCGACCCTATCATCAATAAAAGAGGGAGAAGACTCTGCAACTCCATTGTTCCATAGCCAAACTCGAGCTCAACCATTAGAGGTCCAAAAAGAGGTGTTTGAAGAAGAAAAAGATAGAAAAAAGTGTGGAGAATTAAGATAATGACCTTATATTAACTTTTCTCTTCTTTTTAACTATCATATGGATTACACATCATATGAGGAGACCCTAGGATTGTTCTACATGTTTAGAATCGTAGAATGAGGGGTTGGAAGGTAGTTCAAGTTCAAGAACGGACTTAGAAGCCAAAACGATCGGTTCGCCGGAAAATAACCTTTTAGAGGTTATTTGTATTGATATGAGTTTTATGATGATAAAACCATGTTAGGAGCATAACTAAGTTGTTTCTAGAGTTTGTCGGAGTTTTGCCGGAGTTCTGCTGGAGTTCGCCGGAGTTTCGCCGGAGTTCAACCGAGGAGCGTAGAACACGCTAAAAGCTCATTTAAGGTGAGTGGAGGGCTTAATATCTTATAACTTTTGGGTTAATTATGAGATTACCTAAATAAATGTTATTTGTGTTCATAATGATGTTTAAAAGATATTTAAACATGTGATTAGCCAACATGGTTAAGTTGTACGAAAGGAATTAATTGTTTATGCATAAAATATGATATGATGAATTATAATAAATGAATATTTGCTTGAAGTGTAAGAGAAGCACAAATGGATATTACTAACTTAATTATATGATGATTAAGTTGATACATACAAGACTTGAAATGGCGGTCAACGAAAACGTTGACCGATGGATAATGGATTAATTAATACCGGTTAGTATTAGTTAATTACAAATTTATATAAATGCATGGTTTTGCATGAATTGAGATACGTAAGCTTTATGGATTGATTTGGCTATAAATGAATAAATATGATATAGACTCTATCTAGGTTGATAGGAGGTTGATCATAAAAATTATATATTGGTGGAGGACCTTAGGACTTAAAGTCCTAAACACTCAAAGTATATATTGGTGGAGGAACCTAGGACTTAAAGTCCTTAACACTCAAATTATATATTGGTGGAGGATCCTAGGACTTAAAGTCCTTAACACTCAAAGTATATATTGGTGGAGGACCCTAGGACTTAAAGTCCTTAACAGTCAAATTATATATTGGTGGAGGACCCTAGGACTTAAAGTCCTTAACACTCAAATTACATATTGGTGGAGGACCCTAGGACTTAAAGTTCTTAACACTCAGATTATATATTGGTGGAGGACCCTAGGACGAAAAGTCCTTAACACTCGGTTTATAAATTGGTGGAGCACCAAGGATTATGATCTTCAAAACTCATAGGTTATGGTATATAAACATGGACAAAGAGGAGTCCTATACACTCATGGACATATGGGTGGGTTGGGGTTTTTAGTCAAGAATATTGACTATTACTATTTTCCCAAATAAAATGGTGATCTACGGATCGGGTATTTTCCAAGTGTATATGTACTATTAAGTATTTCTTAACTTGGGGGGAAAAGACTATCTATATAAGTATCACCCTATGTTTGGGTCTTATACTTGAAACGCTAGTTATTCTATATTTAGCCTGCTACTCGCTCGGTACTTGTACTG